TTCTGTATGCCTTATGGAACAGCTCACTGAACCTTTTTTCTTGTGTTCCTGGAACATCTTCTAACCCAACAGTCATGTTTGTATGGTGGAGCTTCTCCTGGACAGCACAGGGTATCTCTGAAAAATAGTTATCTGTGTATCATCTGTGAACTTCCTGAGAGTTCACTCAATCCTGCTGAATCATTAATCAAGACATTAAACAGTTTTGGACTATGTGTTGATCCTGGAGGGACACCAGTAGTCACTGGCCTCTAGCTGGACCTCACACAGCTGAAGAGAACCATTTGAGTCCAGCAGTCTAGATAATTCTCCACCCATCTCATCATCTATTTATCCAGTCCATATCTCATAGATCTGGCTGTAAGTTGGGCAGGATTGTTCTTAGTAAATCTATGCTGACTGCTCTCAGTCACGTTCTTGTCCCTCCAGTGGTTGGAAGTGGCTTCCAGGATGATTTTCTCCATCTTCTTCCCAGGGACTGAAGTGAGACTGATGGGATTCTAGTTCCCTGGATCTTCCTTCTTGAAGATGATTGTGATGTTTGCCTTCCTTTAGTCATCAGGAACCTTCCTTGATCACCACAATCTTTTGAAGATGATAGAGAGCTGCCCTGCAATGGTACTGACCAGCTCCTCAGTACCCCTGCTTGCGTTTGGTCTGGCCTCATGAACCTGAGTGTCCCTGTGGATGAAGTGCACCCTAACTCAATCTTTCTTTCTTGTGGGCACTGATTCACCACCACAGACTGTGTGTGGATGCTTGGGTACCTTGGAGACCTGAGGAAACAAGATCTTATTAGCGAAAACAGAGGCTAAAAGAACATTGAGTACATAAGCCAAGTTCTTTGTCATGAGGTCTCTTGCCCCATTGAGCAGTGGGCCCACACTTTCTTTAGCCTTCCTTTTACGGCCTGTTTTTAGAAGCATTGTCATTCACATCATGTAATATTAGCTGCTTCCTATGGGTGCAAAGAATTTCAGTTCATGAGGATTATCAAGTTCCAGCCAACAGGTAAAAGTTAAAATACACTTTTTTTAATTGCATTTTAAACATAACAAAAAACCCAACATGGATACATAGAATCATAGAATGTCTCAAGTTGTAAGGGACCCATAAGGATCAGCTAGTCCAACTCCCTACTCCTCGCAGGACCTAAAACTAAACCATATGACTAAGAGCGTCGTCCAGACGCTCCTTGAACTCTGACAGGCTTGGTGCTGTGACCGCTTCCCTGGGGAGCCTGTTCCAGTGGCCGACCACCTTCTCAGTGAAGAACATTTTACTAACATCCAGATTTTTTTTGGCTGTACTGGAGAACTCTTGCTGTGCTTTTGAAGAGTTTGCATTCTTGCTGCAGAATTAGTGGCTTGCTGTGATATGCTCATTCCCACCTTTTGCTGCTTTTGTGTAGCCTTGACTTAACACAGCTGTATATGTATACATACACACACATAAGCAGTATATGCTAGTGTGATAGTGGCAATGTAAAAGCAGGGACTTGCTCTGAAAGCTGGCTGAAGTACATCTGCCAGGCTGTGTGTTTCTGTGTTTGACTAACGGGAGGACAAAGGGCAGTTAACCCACTGCAGAAGTTGCTATAATTCTCAGCTGAGCGCTCTCAGTAGTAGTACTTAAACTGGCTGTATAGCTGTCTCTTTCCTAAATTTAGGCAAAAGGGAAATGCATCTCAATTCCAAAAAGTGTTTGTAATGTAGGGGCTTTTTACATAGATAATCTTGGCAAAGAAAACAAACATTTTGGAAGAGTTCCTAGAGAGTTACTTAATATTAACTTTATTCTTTGAGAGGGAGGAGAAGGCAAGTGATTTTTTTTTTTTTTCCTGATATAGGAGATGTTAATGAGGACCATATCCTTTTTCTGACAGAGATCAGTTTGGAAGACAGGTGTGGTTTTTTATCATAGGGGCCAAAAAGTTAATTTTACATGAGATTTTCTTGGTCTTTTGTCATCTTTACAGACAGTGAAGACTGTAGTCTGAACTGAAGTTCTGTCTTACTGCATACGTTGTTAATCACATTTTGCATCTACAATTGCCTTTTTTCATAGGGTTTATAATGAAATAACAAGCTGCAGGATTCAATACACTGAAATTTTTAACGCTAACAATTTGGAATGTCCAGATTTTGTCTTCTAAAAACTGCACAGGATTTATTTTCTCTCTGTGTGGAACTAGATTTGCCAAATCTGCCAGACCTCAGATGGTACAAATGCTGTTCGTCCTGGCCCTGTAGATCTTTCTATAGCCAGGCATCCTGTTTCTAAACACACAGTCTGTAATACTCAGACTGTTAATGGTCCAAATACTTGCCCAGAAACTGAGCTATCTCAGAAGTCCATACACTTTTTTGAAATGTCAGTTTTCTAAGAATGTCTGTGTATAATGATGAATATATGAATATTTCTAAACTGGAATGTTTCTGAATTTTTAAAAGAAATTTATGCAGTGGTTGAACCTCAGTTTATTTTAGTGAGTCAGACTTTTATGCTTCAGGGGAAAAATGGCAGCCTCCAACCCTAGGAGAAAGAATCCTTGGCAGAATTTTTCTTCTTCACTTTTAATTTCAAGGTAGGGCAAACCCTGATCCTCCTGACGATATTTCTCTTCCATGTGGATATGCATCTTTCTGTTGTATGAGTGTATGAAAAAAACTACTTTGTGTTAATAAAATACCTGCTTAAACTCCATAATTAACACGTAACCTTATGTCTACTTCTTCTGAAAGATGATTTGATTTTAATGGAACTAGTAATTTCTATGAAGTTTGTGGGTTTAAAACATTGCATTGAGTTTAATTTAAAGGAGAGCAGTCTTATTTAACCACCCATTTGACTTAATCTGTGAGAGGAAATAATGATAGACATGCATTTTCTCTATCTGTTGCACAAGTTTATGGTATGTGCATGTGGCTACAGATTTTCCTTATCCTTGTTGCCGATTGTTCTTTGTTAGCTTGTGCCCTCTCTTGCATTCAGCTGGGTTGAATTCAGCCACAACCCTTGGCAAGTTAGGGTTAAAAGGTATTTGTCAGGCTAAATGAAATAATTTACTGTGATTCCCAATAGCTAATTGCTGTTGACATTACCACGATTACAAGAAGGACGCCATTGCTTTTGCCCAGCTGACTTTTGAGAGTTCTGGCTCTTGGCAGGCCCTGGTTTAGGTGTCTGAGAAATGCAGATGAGGAATTGGGGAGGAAATATATTACATGCCCTGTGTGGAATCTTACTTCACAATATGTTTGAATACATAAATAACTTTTAAAGATTTTTTTTTTAAACATGAACTTATGTTCATAAAGGAGAACAACTTGATTGCCTTCTTCCTCCACCTTTGGATTCTAGTAGCAGTGTTGAAAGGTAGTGCTCAACTTACAGGCTAATAAAAAGTAATCTTTATTACTTAGACATGTCCCTTAATATTCTCCAGGCTACCACACGATCTTTTGAACAAAGTTGCAACAAGATTCATTCCCAATTTTGCACTTCCCATTCCTCCTTCAACGTAATGTGTACGAGGCATGTGAGGGGTCAGTCTCTCCCTGTCTGCAAGATCAGAGGATGTTTTGGTCATGTGAAGAGGCAAGGGTGACCACACAGGACATCCACAAAACCAAGTGTGACTTTGTGCATGGGAATCTGTGGAAAGAGAGAGAGGTTTCCTTGTAGGTGCAGAGCTCTGCAACTTCTTTCCAGCTTTGCAGGGCTTGTCAGACAGCAGGTAAGCTGTCTCTGGCATTTAGGGTTTTGAAACAACAGATAAATGAACAGGTGTGCTAGGAAGCAGTGCAATTCAGGCACAGCAGCGCTGGAGCAGAAGACAGGAGCTAGCTAAGTTTCTCTCAGAGGGAAGGCATGAATCTTTACGTGTCTGGTAACTGTTCTGTGATGGCTGATTTATCTGTGGTCTCTGGAAATGATCTATTTGTACTTATGAGTCTTGAAAATCATGAAAGGGAGCTAGATTCTTGTTATAGCAAAAATGCTACTTGCTCACCCGCCACCCAGTTTACTGTACTTGAGATAAAGCAGAAGCTTAAAGTTAGAAGCTGAAGTTAGAGCTGTACCACTTTCACATTAAAATGTCAGGCTGTTTTTACAGTGTATCTTTGTGGTGGGTATAACATAACAGCTCCTCTCTGCCACTCCCCCCTCCTCACACTTTCCCCCTGGTTCAACACAGGGCCTCTCTGTGGGCTGCAGTCCTTCAAGAACTGCTCCAGCATGGGCTCTCCATGAGCTGCAGGGAAATACCTTTTCCAGTGCCTGGAGCACCTCTTCCCCTCCTTCTTTGACCTTGGTGTTCACACTGCAGTTTCTCACACTTTTTTTTTTCCCTCATCTCCTCTGCCTGTGCAGTGTTTTGCCCTTTCTTAAGCCTGTTTTCTGTGAGGTGCCACCGTCTTGCCTGAGGGGCTCAGACATGTCCTGCAGTGGGTCCGTTGGAGCTGGCTGGATCCAGCTGTGCCTGGCATGGGGGAGTCCCTGGCCTCTCCTTGCAGAGGCCACCCCTGCCACCCAAACCTTGCCACCTATACCCATTACAGTCTTCCTTCACATCACTCTAGTTGAAAGCAAAGACTGCTTCACATACATATTTATGGGATGTCAGCAGCCTGCAGAACCTTTTACTGCAGGTAGGATGAACTTTCAAGTGTACTAGACATTGCTCAGGATGAGAGAAAGAGTGCTAGGAACTCGGGTGTCATGGCGTGTAAGCAGCCATAATAGAACAAGTTATGTTATTTTCTGAGGGGCTTGCGTTGTATTTGCATGGAAATTGAAAGATGTGATTTGCTCATTAAATAGAGGATGGCAGTGTGGTTTCATTAACCCATCCCCTGTTGAGAAGAAACATGGATACTGTTTATTGGAGAAGTTTTATTCTCCTACCAATGTGATTTGCTAGTTCCTTAGGCAGGTGAGACTCTTTCTATCTCTGTTGGTAATGTTTGACTGACATCCTTTCCCGCTTATAACAGATCATGGTAATGTCAGATGCCACATCGCTCTCTTCAGGACAGAGCCTTCATCTCCCCAACCTTCCCAGTAACTCCCTGTCTTTTTCTGAAGTGAAGAAGAAATCATCTCACGGGCCAAAGGTGAGACTTACTTTGCTAGAAGATACTTGAGCCAGTGGTGCTTTCCCTGGGAATTAACTTGAGGAAAAAAAATATTTCTAGGTATTTTTGCAATCTCATGACATAGTCCAGTGATAATAGGTCTTGACATTTCTTTGTTGTGAACTGACTGTTCGCCACATGAAAATAATGCAGAACAAGGATGGCTGTGAGAACAGGTGCCAATGAAGGTACTGCTTTTTTGGTTTTTGTACACACACAATTGTTTTCCTCCTTTTCCAGAAAGAATTCTAATAGTCTGTTGTAGTATTAGGGGATTCTGGTGATGGAAGTGTGATGTAAATAATATGAGAAAATACTATAATAATTGTTTCATTTATTAAGTGTTTTTGAATAATAAGATAATTTAAGATAATTGGGTAGAGTGAAACTTGAAGTTGTGTTCTTTAGGATTTTTAATTTTGTTTAAATTTCAGGGGTTACTTCTTTACTAGGTGTTTCAAAGATAGCAATGTGTCATCAGTCTCTAGGACATCAAGTTGAATCCCCAACGTAGAACATCGTAAAAAGGTGTAGTTCAACGAACCTTTTGAGTAATAAAAATGGACATTTCCGAAACAGCAGATAATTTCTTCAGTTTGACAAAATGAATTAATGATCTGGGAGAATAAAGAGCATCTTGTTATTTATTCACACAAGAAATGCAACACATTGGCTTGCTTTGTAAATGAATTAACTTATATGCCTTTTCTCCGTTCTGTTAAATCGTTTGGGTTTTGATTTTCTTTCTTAGCATCTTGTCAATTTGAAATATATTACTTAAATTTTGCAGTGCACATACTGCAAGGAGCAATACCCATTTTTATAAATAACTTTCATGTTCTGTAGCTGTGCCAAATCTTGTATCTTGTAAGAACTGTCAGGTAATGAGCTGTGGGTATGCCTAAGTGTGTCCATTGATAAGAATGTATCACAACAGTAAGGATATATAGAAGGGGGAAAAAAAATGTTCTTTGACATGTTCCTGCCTGGTTTGCATTGTACCCGAGTGCCTCACAATCTCTAATGCAGGTGGTCTTGTGACATTTAAAGGATATATGGATGTGTGATTATTTTTATTTTCCTAATGAGGAGCTGAGGTAGATTGAATCTGAGGATTAGAGTGAAGGTGCTTACTTTGGCAAGCTAAAATGACTGCTTAATGCCTAAAAGGAAGGCACCTGGCTACACCAAAGCGATGCAAGGTGCTGAAGATAACTGTCTGACTGCTTAGACTAGGATGCGTCTCCATCTACTGGGATACTGTGAATGAGTTACTTTCACACTTTACGATCTGTATTAGGGTTCTTGTGAGGTTGGATAGCTCTCTAGTGTTCAAGTTTCCAATCGCTTCTTCAGATTTGGCTGTAATGTTGATTCACCCATGTCTTACATTGCATGCCAAAGCAGGCATACTGAGGCTTGGCCTAAATAAGCAACCCAAACACCTGCAGAAGGACTTCAGGGAAGCACAGATATGATACCAAGTCCTACAGTAATGCTTCATCTAGTAACTGTAGACCATGGTAAGTCTTGAATCTCCAACGTAAATTCTTTCATAAGCAAATGCTAACCTGGGATGTCATTTTCTGAACTGTATTCGGACAATGACCTTTTGTCTGGTGTAGAAACCTGACAAGTGTGGAGTGTGGTTGGGGTGAAGCAGGGTGAAGGGAGTGTTGCATGTTTGCTGCACTCGTCCTTATAAATGAATGTTTGAAGTCTTTTCGTTTTTGCTGAAGCAACCCAACCATCTTCAGTGAGTTTGACCCATAGTAGGAAGTTACAGGAGTCAGTAGGAGGTTAGAGGTGCATCACATCTCAGGAGTGTATTCAAAATCTGTAAAATTGTTACCCAGGAATGTTTTTAAACTATTTTGTTTCAAAATAGGGATGTTCAGCAGCAATGCAGTCTGTTTGATATCATTCTTTTTTCAACCTTGTATGCTGTTCACTGGAGTTTTTAATAGTGGGAAGAGATGTTATATCAATACACTGTTTCTTGCCAGTTGGTGTGAATATTTAATTTTTCCCCTCCCCAAGCAATCTTTGTCTCCTGCTGTCCAACTTAAAACACACATTAATGAGCAACTGTTCTTGTATCTCATAAAGAAATACTTGTAAATGTCTGCCTTACTAAGGATCATCAGCTGTTTTTGAGAAATGGAAACACGAAGTAACCCTGGTTTTAGTATAACAAAAAAAATTGGGTTTTTTGTTATAAATCCTGGGAGCTGAGAACCCTTGGATTTTTGTCTTTAGGGTTTTTGTTTTGGTTGGGGGGCAGGAGAGTTCCAGCCAATGTGTAAATAGATTTTTGTTTTTGTAATTTGGAATAACCCTAGTGATGGAACAACTTCAATATCCAAATTTCATTTAGATATGCCCCTAGAATAGGAGCTGTGTAAAGGTCTTGGTAGTTCTTGGGTGTAAGTTGTCTTTACCCAGACAGTGGGTGCGTGTACTCCAGGTGTCTGTACTGGATGATTTGGGGTTTTTTCTGCTGCAGCAATAGCCCATTGATGTGCTTGGCTTGGTTTTGGTTTGTTTTGTGTCTGTGAATATCAAAGTAAACTTTGAGGTCAGTTGTAAACTCTGAGTATGGAAAACCAGAACCTCAGAATATTTGCTTACCTGTTTGCCATTACAAAGCACTACATAGACTTTCTGGTTAGAGGAGAATTGCAGTCAAGACAGTAAAACTGGTGCAACGAAGTGGTATTGTTGGTTTAGCTTTTGCTTATAAAAAAATACAATGCAGTATGAAGTGAGAGAACTATCAATTTGTTTTCTCTCACATCCTCTTCCGAAATATGTATTAAAAATATAGATGTTTGTATTTCTGAAGTTCCATGATTTTGTGTTTAATGTAATGGAGATGTATTAGTGACCCCCGCTATTGTGATTCTAAAACAAAGCTTTAGTCTTGGAAATACAGAGGACAGGCAGAAATGCATGAAACCTTCCTTTATGCATTTTTTCAGAATAGAAAAATAGCTGCAGACTAGCTACAAATACTTGTGTTGCTTTTAAATCAGTTGTATTACTGTGCCTGTTTGTATTATGTAAATACTACATGCATAGAGTACAGCGAAACAGCTTGATTAGTTTTGTTGAGATGATTGTCTTTTGGAATGAGCTGTAGTGTCAGCTGCAGTGAAATGAGGTTTACTTTACAAACAAAAAAAAACGAAAGCTCTTATTCCCGTGTGTGACCAGAAAAAAAATAAAATATGGTTTTATGCTCCCCCTTTTGGCTTTCTCTGTCAAACCAGTGAGCCTTATAATTCTCCATCTGCTTCTAATGCTCCTGATGTCGTTGGTCATAATAGTTTGGTGGGCTGGACAAGCGGAAGTGTGGAAAGCTTTGTAAATATGCGATACAGTAATAATCTGTAAGAAGAACTAGCAGCAGGTAAATTCTTCTCCAGCATGCAGCTAGCAAGTGGAAGAATATCATAGTATTTGTGGAGGCTTTCAAAATGTTGTGGGTTTTTTTTCCCCCCCAAATCAGTTAGTGTTTTTATTTAATAATAAACACAGTTGTATTCAACAGAAATCTGAATTTCCTTGAGCAAGTAACTCCTTTTAGATATCTTCCTCTTCTTTTCCTCTTAAGAGCAGGAGGCATATTTGAGACTAATTCCAGTCCATTGGTTTAAGATGGACACATTATTTCAATAGGCATAACACTTGAAGAAATGCTTTTTTATTACAAATGAAAATAATACATGTTTTTTATGACTACTAATCCTAAATTTGTAGACTAAACCCAGAGTACGGTAGACTGGCAAGGCCATGCCAACGTGCTCAGTTTAATGACTTCATAAAATTTAATGAACCACCCCTCTGTCCCCCTAATTGCTTCATTTGCTAATTAGGTTCCTAACGTCTGTCAGCAACTGGAGAGGTTTGAAATTATTTCCAGAGGATACTGCTTATTCAAACTCATGTTCAACCAAATTGGGAATTACATTTTGTGGTGTGAAGTCAGAATCTGACCCTGCAAGATATACAGAGTTCAACACCATTTTTTGCCTTGTAGTTACAGAAGTGTTTTAATCTGCAAATGTGTTACCTGTTGAGCAGCTGTTATGGTCCATTTGGATCTCTCAAATTTACAGGACAACATACTCTGTGATTTGAACTTTATTTCATGAGCTTATTAAGAAATACAACAATCAAACATGACAAACAGGGCTCAGTCGCCTTTGCCCAGACTAGTCTTATCACGTGAGTTCGCTTATTCACCGCTCAAGTCATATGGTTTCATAAGTTACAACCTGTAACTTTTAATCCATGCACTTAGCAAAAAAAAAAAAAAAAAAGTTACCTAGCCGACAGTGAAAGTGTTCATCCTTCCTCCCCTGTCATGGTGTGAGCGTCCCTGTATCACACTGGGAAACACGAAAGCCTCAGCAGTCCAGCTGCTGATGGATCCACTTCAAAAAGGGGTTTTTTTTGGTAAGCTAATGTTTTATACCTTCCAGCTTGGAGGTTTGGTTTATATCATTTACATAAGTTAGCAGATTCTGACGAAACTGCCAGACAAAAATGATGGCTGCAGGAGACAGCAATTTGCAGGTGATCATGGCTGCATAATGGCCCTTTAGCTCTTTCTGGCCACCTGTCCTGCCTACATGATGCTCTCACTGCTCCCAGCATACATCAGGCCTTAGCATGAGCTGTGTTAGCCAAAATCTGAGCAGGAGCTGAGTGCAACAGTCATAGTAGCACAGTTTTTCTCTGTTGGTAAAACCTTAGATTTTTATTGTGCTTTCTAAAATACTTATTTTTAAAGATCTGTTAGTACTGCTCTATGAAAGGGGTTATATATCTCAAAGTACTATAGGCACATGGTGTTACTTGGCTTAAGAAAAGAAAACATCTGCAGGTATTTTAATGTGCATATAATCCTCTGTGTTATCCTTTTGATGTTTGTTATGCAATGTATCGGAGTCTAACATTCACTTCAATATTTGATGGATACACAAATGTAAGCTGTGGTGTGTAAATATCTTACCTGTCAAAACCCCACGATCTCCATTTTACATAGGAACTTGAGAAAAGACAGTTTTATTTGTCCCTCTTAGCAGAAATACATCATTCACCCTTATTCCTTGCAACACTTCTTAAGGTGAGAAGGAAAAGAAACATTTAAACACAGTGTTAGATTTTGATAAATAAGAAAATTGATTGAAAGTATGTTCTGATTTTCAGTGAGATTTATGCTGTACATGATGTGAATATTTAGCCACATTTCATCCCCACCAGCCTTCCACATTCATCGTGAGGTTTGATATAATTTTGCCAGTGAATATATTTGGGTTTTTTTCTGTATTACAAATTTTATGTTCTTCTTGCTGTTTCCTCTGTCATTGTTGGCTTCTGTTAGGGTCATTGCAGAAACTTAGGAAATAAGAAAAGAGACTTTTTTTACTTAGAGAAGGAATGCAAATATAAAAGCAATGGGTTGGCTGTCTTAATGAAAGAGTAGCTCTCAGAGCATGGCAGGGGTGTATATATATGTCTATATCATAAGTATGTCATATACTTGTACTATGATTTCTGTGAAAACATCCACTTCCATGTTGTAGAAAGAGGAAAGAAGTCTGGGTGTAAAATCGAAAAAGCAAGAAAGATCTCAAGTTCCTATTGGTTTTAATACTACTGCACCCCAGGACCTATTTCACAGCTTTCATCTGTTGCAAAACCACTAAAATGAGTCTCTCCTTTTGGAGCAATTTAAAATACGTGGTAAGGAGACCAATAAGAAACATAAGGACTCCATCTAGTTTATTAATGGCACATATTTTATTCCTCCCTATGGCAACACTTACAGCTTTGGCATGGTAGAACAAGATGTGAAGACAGAAGCATTAATAATTAGTTCATATGTCAACCTTTGGGGCTGGTCTTGCATCAAACAAAATAAGGTGCTTTTTTTTTAATTAAAAAAAAACCCACCAGGAAAGGAGTTTTGACTGAAGTAAAACATCTCAAGGAATGCTTAGTGCTTTTTTATTTTTGTTTTTTAATTACTGGTCTGGGAAATGAGGAATTGCCTTAACGTTCAGACATTCAAATGTCGTCATAACACTGTTCATGATGGTTCTGCCCATTGTTAATGTTGATGCCTATATATTATATAGATTCATAGTTAGATTTCCAAATCTGACTCAAAAATACATTTGCAGTACTGATGCAAGAAACATCTGAACAAAAAGCACAATTGAATAATTTCTGCAGCGCTGTGCGAAAGTTCAGTGTTTCACTAATTAGTTAAGATGAGAAGGGAAAAACAGTTCAAAGTAATTATTTTTAGTTAATTGTTTCCACCTGTTGCTACAGAGGAGAAGGGAGATACTGCTCTTTTTGCACATATGATGTGTGTAAACCGCTCAGGTCCTACAGCATTAAATACTGGCTTAACACATCCCGGTTGGACAAGTCATAAGTAGTTAGTTATCTGCCAACAGGGAGCATGCAAGTGGAGTATTCTCAGTCTTAATTTCTCCTCTTGTTGACACAACTTTCATTAAACAGGCTAATTCTGCTTTGTTTTCTTGGGTGGTTTTTTTTCAGAGCAGTTCTACTGACTGGTTTTTAAAATTAGTCAGCCCCCATGGAAGTTGAGGCTGGCCACATCTTGCTTTGGTCCTTCAGTTTCCAGCGCACTGCTGCTATCCCATCTACGTTGTGGGTATAACGGTGGTTAAGTAAGGGGAAAGAAAAACTAAATATGTTTTCCCCTCTGCAGTTCTGTAAATCTGAAGCAGTGTTAGACAGCCAGACATACCATATCTACGTATATACTAGAGGGTTGTTGTGCTTTAACCCTGGTGGGCAGCTGAGCCCCACGCAGCCACTCACTCACTCCCCTCTGGTGGGATGGGGGAGAACCAGGAGGGTAAAGGTGAGAAAACTCGTGGGTTGAGATAAAGACAGTTTAATAGGCAAAGCAAAAGCTGCGCACGCAAGCAAAGCAAAACAAGGAATTCATTCACTGCTTCCCATCGGCAGGCAGGTGTTCAGCCATCTCCAGGAAAGCAGGGCTCCATCATGCCTAACGGTTACTTAGGAAGACAAACGCCTTAAGTCCGAATGTCCTCTCCTTCCTCCTTCTCCCCCCCAGATTTCATTGCTGAGCATGATGTCATATGGTATGGAATATCCCTTTGGTCCGTTGGGGTCAGCTGTCCTGGCTGTGTCCCCTCCCAGCCTCTTCTGCACCCCCGACCTCCTCACTGGCAGGGCAGTGTGAGAAACAGAGGCGGCCTTGATGCTGTGTGAATACTGCTCAGCAATAGCTAAAATGTCAGTGTGCTATCAACACTGTTTTGATCGCAAATCCAAAACATAGCCCTATACAAGCTACTATGAAGAAAACTAACTCTGTCCCAGCCAAAACCAGTACAAGGGTCAAAAAAGAAAAGCAGATTCTTAGCACTGTAGAATGGTAAGTGTGGATTGCTGGAAAATAAAATAGAGCTAGGGATCTGTACATGAATTTTATACAGATGAAAGCATATCCAATCTTACACAGATGCATTTTGGGCACCACTTTGGTCTGCAGCTTGCGAAGGACTTGAATGAATAACCAACCAAATTATTAAAACTCAGACCCAGAAGTGCATTTATAATATTTATGCTGACTAGCACCCTTTTCAGTAGTTTCCCCATTTCCGATAATGCTTTCTTTGCATAAAAATTATATTGGAAAAACACTTTATTGTAAGTACTGTTCATCATCCTCTCTTTCAACCTAAGAATTTCATTCAAACTGTGACTCTAGAAGTGTGTATTGGGACACCCCTAATTAAATATATATGAGTGAGGAATGATACTGCTCTTTCTGCTTTTGCCTATCTTACAGGACCTCTGAATCATCACTCTCTCAGAAACCCTTCTCACTTATAACAGTTGAATTTAAAAAAAATGCAATGAAATACTTAGAGACAGCAGCAATAAATACAAAGAAGAAAGCTTTTTTAGTAAAGGAGGTTTTCCATAAAAAGACATTGACTGCTGAGATGTTGTGTGTCAAACCAAGTCTTCCATAGCCAGGCTGGACCCAGAGTTGTTATTGTGTATGACAAAATGATCTGGCAAAAGCTGGAGAGAGGATCGCAGTAGAGAAGTCAAGCTTTGCCTGAAATGTCATCAGGAGCACATGTTTTGCTCTGATCCTGAAGTAATTCTGTTGACAGTATATGGCGCATATCCTGATCTTTCCTTGTGATGTTGTTTTTTCCTGATAGCTAATGGTCATGGTTAACATTTCCTAAACGGTCTTCATGTTCATCAAAAAGCATGTCTAATTCTTAAGATCAAAACTAACTTGTCTTGCAGATATTGACGAGCAGTGGTAACTGCTCGTGTTCCACCACTTTGTAACAGATAAATTGACCAAAATGATGGGGTTTGTATCTGTTCTTATATAGGTATTTGCAGTTTCTGGTTTTCAACCTGCAGTTCCAAGTTTTTAATATGAATCCTGTGTCTGTATTGTGTCTGTCTTTTGGGGCTTTGAGGGTTATTTTCCTTTTTCTTTTTTTTTTTTGTAAGTAAAATTTTGCATCTCCTTTTTGCAGGACCCAACTAGGATTCTGAACACAAATAGCAGCAGCAGCAGTAGTAACAGTTTTTCAAAGACCCACAAGTTAACAAAGGAGCACAAGGAAAAAACTTCTAAAGACTCAAAAGAACATAAAAGTGCCTTCAAAGAACCTTCCAGGGAACACAACAAATCTTCCAAAGAATCCTCTAAGAAACCCAAAGAAAACAAACCACTAAAAGATGAAAAAATAGTTCCTAAGATGGCCTTCAAGGAACCCAAGCCCATGTCCAAGGAGCCAAAATCTGAAAACACCCCCATCCTTGCCATAACAGGTGGGCAGCAGCAAGAAAAGAAGACCCCCACAAAAAGGCCCTCTGTTCTGGACTCTGATGAACCTTCTGCAAAGAAAAGAAAAAAAAGTAGCTCGGATTCATTATTTAAAAGTTTTTCTAGCGCCCCACCACTGATTCTTACTTGTTCAGCTGACAAAAAGCAGACAAAGGACAGATCTCAACTGAAGGTAGGGAGAGTCAAAATTGAAAACGATGCACTGGAAAAGAAGACGCCTACTCTGCCACCGTTTGATGATATTGTAGATCCCAATGATTCTGACATGGAGGAAAACATGTATTCCAAATCTGAAGTAAGTGGTGTTTGGTTTTGCTTCATATGTGTTCAGTATTCCCAGTCTGTGGGACTGTGCACCATATTTGTATTTTCCCCTTCCTTTCTCCTGTCTTCTGGCAGATTGTTCAAACTGAAGGATGTTGGCTGCCGCCTGTTCAAACTTACGCATGTTCTGGTTGAATTGTATTGCCTACTCAAGTCTACTCAATTTATAAATCTGTCAACATTATGACGAATGAGCATATGGGAGATGGCTATAAATAATATTGCTCTTTTGATCTTGTTCTTTTGAATTTCATGCTTCTTGTGAGAGAAAAGGAAATTGATTTAAATGCTTGTATATTACACCCTAAGTCTTTGTGTTCAGGTGTTAGAGAATTCAGTAAACTCAGAAAAGGGTAACAGTAAATCAGAGTGTTATTTGTTATTTTTCTGCTAAAAAGGACAGTTCTGTGAACAATGCCCATTTTGTGGAGGAGTTCCTAGATTCCTCGCTCTGATGAGGAGAATCTTATCTGAAGTAACAGGCTTACCCAAGAAAAAAGACTTGTGTTTATGGAAATTTGCTTTCGTGAAAATATTTGCCTACTGTGCCTGCTCATCTGTTTCAAGCATCGTTTGCTCTTGATGATTAGGATTTTAGTAATTCTCCTAGCAGAGTTCAGTTTTCAGAAGCATCTTTTATAGAGAGATGAGTAGAGAAGGAAAGGGATGGGAAGAGAAGGCTTGTTTGGTGCCTTTATTTGTGCTTATGGCTAGAGGTAGTGTGCATGGTAGAGAGGAAGTCTTCCCAGCCATGCCTGTTCAATTCTCTCATTTTTCTGTTTTCTGTTGTGTGCCTCTGTTACTGCCATCAGAATCATAGTCCTGCTTGCCCTCTTTGGAACAGACAATAAATACCCTGCTGTGGGGAGGTGTCAACTTTAGGTTTTTGCTTCACAGAAACTTGCCACGAGGAAGAAAGTAATTTATTTCTGAAGTGACCTTTTAATGACTGGTCCCTCAGGGCATGCAAAGGCTGTAAAATTTAGAAGGTATGGAGAAGGACAGGCTCTGCTTTACAGCATGGTACTGGTGATACTGTGGTTGGGGTGGCATTCTCATTCTGGCTTAGAACTTATGAATTTGTCTTTAAACCTGAAAATGTTCACACTTGTCAGCCTTGGTGTGAATTAATTTGTAATGTCTTTAAAAGAAGCTGAATCTTCTATTTTAATTTATGTCCGTACCCTTAAGATTTGCTACCTACCCTCAGTATAGCCAGCTAATTAGCATAGATTTTGCTTCCAGATTTCCTATTCATTCAAATAGGTGCCATGTAGTGGCACATATGCTTTTACTGGCAGCAGTGGTTCTCCGTTTTTCTTCAAAGACAAAAGAATTGAGAGGAACAACTGCAATGTAACTGGATTTTACAAACAGGCTCTACAGAGGTGTGTGCTGCGTAGGAACTTGCAGATAACTGATACGTGAAAGATACGGATGGTGCTTAAAACCGATCCTTTTTAATCATTGACATGTTTCCCTCTGTTGTCTTGCAGCCTCTCGCCCGTTACCAATGGTATAATGGGTACACCCTTGTGTTTTTCATAGGTTGACACAAATCCACTTGCACTGCTGTTCATCATCCATCTGCAGATGACCTGCAGGACCTAAGGAGTTCCTTAATTCTGTACTAAAGCAAAAAGGCAGATTCAGGGTTTCCTCGTTCTGTGAGCCACTGTTACTGGGAGGGTAAACTACTGGAGTCCGCCCAAAGAGAAGCAGATCCTGCTGTTCTGGGCTCTGGTGTTTAACGTTGACGTCCTGGATCATGGAACAGATAGTTCTTCAGTGGGATGGCCAGTGTGGTCCACATCTGTATGCTTGAAAAGGATGTCTGCCACTTTGGGACTGTGCTTATTAATAAATCAGGCTGATTACGGCTCCAGTTAGTGACTGGATACTATTTAGAAAGTCAATAATATACTTATTTTAGAAAAGGTATCTAGAAAACCCAGAATAATTCCCTAAGGTGCCTGTGGATTCACGCCATTGTTGGTGCTGTGGGAGAAAGAGCTGGACAGCCTGGTTAATGAGTGTCTACAGAATTTCACAAAGAGTTGTTGCTTCTACACTTCATTAGTTTTAATCAGGGAGCCTAACAAAAGCCGACTGAGCAGTGTAATGGAGGTAACTCTGTATGTTGGAAAAAATAGTTTGAACTTTTTGTATGTGTTGGTGGGTTTCTAAGCATTTCAGGAAAAGGTGTAGATTTTACAGCTAGATCCATAAAGGGTATATCCTATAAATATAGTCACATAAAGGAAAAAAAAAAGTGAAAAGTTGCAATGTTGCATAGAGAGTAATGGAAGTGAAGATATGATAATGCTTTTGCTATACAGGAACGGTTATTTCAGGTCTGTTAATGCTTCATGATACTAACCAACATAGTTGCCTGAAGCTGGGAAGACACTTCTTCAGTGGCATGTTCTGGCATAATAATATGCTTTAAAATTCAGTCAATTGTTATTTCTTACTCTGGTACAGTTACAGTGATGGGTATCATAGCATTGATGAACAAAGAATGTATCATTATTTAGGAGTATATTCGGTAGTAAAGTATCCAGGATTTATTCCTAAAATAGCTTTAAAAAAACAAAACCCAACTCAGCAAATCTGGGTTAGGTATAACAAATCAGATTACAAATCAATATGTAAAAGAAAATTGTTAGGATACCACAAAAATATTAACTTTGAGTCAAGTGCATTTTTTCTAGTCTGTTACATTTATGACATAGTGCAAACCTAATACTGTATGAATTGTTGTAATAAAATTATGAATAACTTTGCTAAGAATTTTGTGAAGACAGTATTTTCTTCGCTCCATTGAGTAAGAGATGTTCTCATTCTCAAACACCCATGTCCCAAAATGGTGACTGTTCGCTTTCTTGGTATTAGCTCATATGCGTAACTATGCATATCGAACACAATAAATCTGTAATAAAAGGTGTAATGTAACAGAGCTGTCTGCAACTGCTCTGCAGCTAAGGTTGTATTACTTCACCTAGAATTATTTTGGTCGTGCTTTTATATTTTAGAGACTTCAGTTTGTCAGTAGGTGCACAAAAACATGTAGTTTTTGTGTGCATTTCTTTAAAAACAAAAAGTCGGGGGAGGGTAGAGATCTTTATTTCAGAGGTTTTGGAGGAGTCTTCCCCTGGCAAATACTCATTGCTTCTGAACTTTGCCCATTAAGTCATTCTTTTATAATATGTGAGAAGCAGGTGAAAGAAGTGGGACATCAGCAAACAGTGCTGGCATTATCTCTGGAAACTTGTCCAACAAGCCATATGGTAGAAGTTCAGATGAACTCGTACTGCTTTTATCAAATGTATTCACCAGAAGGTAGAACTTCCTGCAAAAGTAAGTTTCTTCCTATTGCTGGTCACACCGAAGGCTGTTTTTTAGAGCTAGGGGTAGTCAATGAGTTCTGGTTTTTAAGGATGACATTCTGAGGAGTCCTTATGGTAAAGGAAGCTGACAAAGATCGTTAAACAGAGGTGCTGTTTCACTGGGTAGGTGCTACAGGAAGGCAATGCTGCCACTCTCCTGATTTCTTCAGTTACAGCCTCTGTTCCGTGAATTGAGGTGGGGTGTATTCTTTCAATTAATGGGCTTTAATTTCAGACAGAAAAGCAGGGTGAGCTCAACCCTTCTCAATATTGGCATCATGCTCTACCTAGTTCTGGGCATTCAGACTTGAAATACTGGCCTTTGCCTTTACGGAGTGGAGGACGTAGAGGTTTAGCACCCTCCGAGAGAGGTGGATTCTTTTTCATGTGGTAGAGCATGTCTGCCAATGGCTAATCCACCCTCTGAGCTGTCCCTTAGAATTCAGGTTTAAGAACACAGCCAGGTTAACATACTGTTGCTGCAGGGGCATTTCAGAAAGTCAGATGCTGTCCTCTGATGCCCTGCGGTCAATCCCTGTTTTGAGCTCCAAATGCCTTTATAAAATTACAGTGGGAAATAAAGCCAATCACATCCTTGCTTAGTGATAAACTTTCTGCCCTTGTTTAATAGCCTTTCTGTGCATGACTTAAAGAATAAGACCACATACGGTCATTCCTCTGTGGTCTATTTGGCATAAGCTGTAGTGTGGTGTGCTGCTGTATTTATTTTAGCTCTGTTTTTCTGTTGACTTTGAGCTGCTGGCAGCGAAACATGTGCCTCCCATTTCTCTTCACAATGCTTTGTTGAGTATCACTTTTCAAATACGTCTGTGATTTAAAGTGTGTCGGACTTCAGCATTAGTGATAGACTTGGTGTTCAAAACAGTGCAGGGCTTTTTAGAGTCATAGGAGCTAGCAAAGCTATTCAGGAGTGACATGTAGTATATTCAGTTAGAAATTACACATAAAGGCCGAGGAATTATTTTATTGGCTTTGGTATGAAGCATGTAAAGTAGGGTATGGAGTCAAAGCATGTCAGATTTATGGTTTTATTGAGGCGTAGGAGTATTAGCACAGTCCACTTGAAAACTCCAAAGATTTTGCTTTTAGATTCAATGGCAGGTTGTTTTAGTTAAAGAAAACTCCATCTGTTTGCTTCCTATGTGGGACAGTGCAGCAACATGATAAAAAAAAAAAAAAAAAAAGAACTTAGGACT